ACCTAATAACTGGGACACCTTTGTGCATGTTCATTAGAAATTTAGTGAAAACAAAATTCTTAGTGTATGTCACATTTTGTCCAAAAGCATGGTACCATGGATAGATAGAGAAAGGTGATTTCTATCAATATCCACTATATCAAAATGCCCATAAAGTGAAGGAACTTAAGAGACACCTTAGCGTAGTTGTAGCTCTCCAAACTAAATGGTTTATAATACCATATCGTTAATTAAAAAAAAAAAAAAAAAACTCCAGTGTGATTCTGACATTTTTATTCAACTCCTTCTGCCAAGGTCTATATCAAAGTGGCTATTTTAAAATAACCTGTGTTTCAAGGCACCTGGGTGGCTCAGTCGGTTAAGCATCTGATTTCAACACCTCAGAACCTGAAGCATGCTTCAGATTCTGTCTCCCTCTCTCTCTCCCTCCTCTGCTCACAGTCTCTCTCTCAAAACTAAAAAGACAAAAAGTAAATATAAATAAATAAATAAATAACCTGTATTACCATGCCATTTTAAAACAATGGCTTGTTATCAGAATTTATAAGACAGTGAATTTCATGGGTTGCCTAAGATTTGTATTTCTGCTCCTTATTAAGTGTGTAAATAGCGATTATTTCACATTCATTCCAGTGACTACTCCTGATGACTTCAGATTCCTGTTGAAAAGAGAGAACTAGGAAGGGCTCCAGTTCCTTCCCCAAAGTGACCTTGTAAGAACTAGAGGGGAAACTGTGCATTCCAGGGAGTAACAAACAAACAAACAAACAAACAAACAAACAAAAAAGGAAAGGAAGGAGGGAGTAGAAAGGCAAAGGGAGGAAGAGTAAGAAGTAGAAGAGGAGGAGGAAAAGAAGGAAGAAGGAAGGAGGAGGAGCAGGGAGGGGCAGGGAGGAGAGGAAAGGGGGTGGGGGCGGAAAGGAGCAGGGAGGAGGCCGAGAAGGCAGGACAGCTCCAGAGGAGACCTGAAGGGTGTCTGAAACTTACTGGGTTGGGGGTGGGAGCAGGGATGGACCCTGGGGGGAGGCAGAAGTGAGAAGACAGGTAACAGAAAACTTTCCTACTCCCAGATGGAAATTTAAGATGTGGAAACTCAAATGCAATTTTAGAACGTCTGTTGTTCATGCTGAGTATCTGTCTGCTTTGTAACTTATCCAAACTGTTGAGCTGCTTCTCCCTCCTGTTGCCTCTACTCTGGATATTGGAGGTAGCAGCCATAGAATAAAGTCATGTCCCCTGAATGTTGGTAGAGTCAAGGAGAAGATAGAAAAAGAGACAGACTTAAAAATTTTTGTTTAAGTCATTATTGTGTTTTTTAGTGTCTTTAGCCATTAACGATTAACAGTTCTTTAGCTATATTCAGAAAACACATATTTAAAAATAAAAAGTATGCCAGAGCTTGCCTGATAGATTTCATATTACAGATCAGAGCTACTCATTTTTCCTAGATAATTCACTTGCCATTGATAAGTATATGGAAAAATATCACTCCCAAAATTTTGTAAAACTTTTTTCACGTTTACCAAGGAATATACGATAAGCGTACACAGCCATGGCAAAAATGCATGGATCGGTCCTTCTTTTTCATTTTAACAGTAATTTGCAGATACATATAGTCATCTATCTGGCCAGCAGTTTCAGGCATTTATTCTGACTGCCACTGTCTTTTTTTTTTTTATTATTATTTTTTTTTTAAATTTTTTTTTCAAACGTTTATTTATTTTTGGGACAGAGAGAGACAGAGCATGAACGGGGGAGGGGCAGAGAGAGAGGGAGACACAGAATCGGAAACAGGCTCCAGGCTCTGAGCCATCAGCCCAGAGCCTGACACGGGGCTCGAACCCCCGGACCGCGAGATCGTGACCTGGCTGAAGTCGGATGCTTAACCGACTGCGCCACCCAGGCGCCCCGTGACTGCCACTGTCTTAATGTAGAACAGCACTGTCTAATATGGTAACCATGTGGCTATTTAAATTAAAATTAATTAAAATTAAAAATTTAGCTCCTCACTCTCACTAGGGACATTTCAAGTGCTTAATGGCCACATATGGCTAGTTGTAATTATTAGACAGTGCAGATGTAGAACATTTCCACCATTGCAGAAAGTTGTATTAGACCGTGCTCTGATTTTCAGCGATACCATAAAGACTAGACTGCACAGATTCGGCATTTGGTCTGCCTTGTTGTTTTGGCATTTAGAACAAATAGCCACTTTCATGTGCACTATACTAGGGTGGCAGTTGGAAGATATGGGTTGAAAAATCTAAGTGTGCAAACGACATTTACCTACGTCTAACTGTTACTTCCAGTTTCTGACTTTATTAGGTCATTTATACGTAGTTACCAGACAGTAACTCTATTTCAAGAATATAGGATGATTTCTAGTATAGTGATGATGGGGAACAAGTAGGGAACTTGGGGTCATGGGCAGGAACCATCAGTGACATCCCAGACGAGCTGAGTCTCAGATGCTGGGACAGCCTCCATCACGCTTCAGGACAGTAGCTCCTAAGTATTTCCGAGTCAATACCTCTTGAAATTCTGATAAAAGATTTACGACTTCTTCCAACTTAATCATGCACACCATTTCAGGCACTCACAAACCCTTGGAGTCCCAGTGGTGTCACAAGAGTATGGAGAGGGGACCACTATTTTCCTGAGAAACAGAGCTATTCAGAAGTCTTTAAGGGGGAGAGATGAGTGATATGAAGACCTGGGCTCCTGGGCCCTGTCGGCACGCAGGAAGGAAGTGCAGTGCAGGGTCCTGGGTTGTTTTGTTTTTGTCTTTGTTTTTATTCTGTGGGGTGTGGGAGGGTAGCCCTGCTTCCTTCAACGTTCAAGGCCCCTCCTGAGGTATGGCATCCTAAAGAAGCCCTCCCCCGCTCAAGTACCAGACTGTCCTCACAGCACATGCACCAAAGGAATAATTATGATTATATTGGGAGATTGTCCACAAGCCTATGCTTAATAATTCTCACATTTTACTTTCAATATTAGAGTAGTGTAATTGAAATGTGGTTGGCGAGACTTTAAAAAGACAGAAGCCTACAGGTTATAGGATAAGACGTTTCCTTAAATGTATGCTATTGTTCTACCAATGGCAGCAAATAAATTGCTTCTTTTTTATTCTGACTTTTTGGCTTGCTGAATCAGTAGTCTCATCAGAAATTACTTAAAAGAATTAACATAGCTATAAAAACCAAAAGTAGTTTATATCCCTTCTGGCTATTGTATTATCAAAGATAAAGCAAAATGATTCATCCTACATTTTCATTATTTTCAAGATGATTTTCTTTCCTAGTCTCTTGACACTTCCAAAAGTTACTCATAAAGTTATTTGAACAGGTAAAAATAAACCTATAAATTTTTTTATTGACATAATTTTTATGTGCTGTAATTGCTTAAAACACTAAAATCCACTCACTTTTTATAAGGAATTATAGCATATTGTTTTACTCCACAGGAATGAGGTTTTTCAGAAAGTCCACTGTGTTACCTAGTGGAACCAGTATATAGACAAACACAAAATCCATGTAATTAATCAAATATAAACAAACCCAAAAGTTACAGTAAAGTTTTGGGAAAATATACTTATGTTAAGACTAAAATATCTAAATTACTTATATTTGCTATAAATTCTTTCTCATTATATGCACATTGTCATATAACAAATTCACATTTTAATAGAAATGACTGAAACCGAGATAGAGATAGTCATGTTCTTCATCCTCCTAAAAAACTTATGACAAAATTTAATAACAGGGACACCTTCGGGATTTCTATCGCCAAACAACTTATAGTAATTCTAAGTTCAGTACTTGAATACCAAAAGACTGCTCGAGATTTAGAAATGCTTGATAATTACATGAAAACATTTAAAGACATACAGGAAAACAGCACAAACAATTCTCTCAGTTTTTCCATAAAGGAAGGAAAAGATTAATTTTGATGAATCTAAGTATTTGCTTTGATGAATTCTTTATTTTGGTCATTTAATTTTTTTAATGTGAATTTATTTGTACCAATCACACACAATTCCTACCTTCACCTTCAGACACTATTGTGGGACTTTTTAGTTAAATGGGTCAATTGCTTCACTTGGATGATATTTGGCAAAAACCTTTTATGTTCCTCAGTCTGATGTGATACGCATGCACAACTCTGTCTTTAGCCCGAGACACCCTTTTAGCTGATAAATATCACCCAAAGCAAAGTCCTTGATAACACAAAATAATTAAATAGCAGAAGCTGTTTAGAGATCAGCATTTCGTTTTTCAAATTAAATGTAAAAGCCTTCTCCAGTTAAGAGATTGGCAAGTTTTTACAAATAACATCAGTGAGCCTTTTAGAAAGAAACACAGCCACATTACAATGGAGTCATTAGGCAATACATTTATTTTGAAGCCAATTAACCTTTTGTCAGAAAAATGTCGGTGCCGTAATGGTTTCGGCGTGGAGGTCAGCCTCTAACCGGGCACGTATGACAGCCACCGCCACTGACACGTGCTGCAGACAGGGAGAGAGTGCGGCAATGAGAACCAACCTTCTTTTGTATTCTGCTCTGCATTTCCAGGGAGCAGACAATCTTGACCTATCCATTTAGGTAATTAAAGCTTCCATTTGGAAGTGTCCTGCAGGAAGGTGAAATTTGGAGGAGATAAATGGCTGTTGCTCTCCGTATTCAGCCACCAGTTCCATCATTTGATGGACTGCCTGAAACAGGCCGGGCTGCCAGGTTCTCATAAAAATAGAGATGAATTGGGCAGCGGACGATTCTCTAAGGCAAAGCAACTCTGTCATTTTCTGTTTTGCAGGCTATAATTTAATTGTTAGTCAAGGTGGACAGCTGACACAAGGGGGGCCTTCTCTAAGAGCTTACCCACCACCTTCCATTCTCTGAGAAATCACCGCAGCTTATTTGGTTAGCCAACTTCGTTCAGTGTTGGGAGATGTCGCTCCAGCGGTACACAGCTGGTTCCCCCAGCTGTGCCCTGACTTACCTTCCACGCGATTTTGTTTCCTTTTGAATCATGCTCAAGGGCAATTGGGAAATCTCCTCGTTCATAAAATTTTCGAAATGCTGTGGGCTTCGTTGGTCTTTCTTTAAATGCTCCTGCAACTGGTGGGCCTCTCACCTTCAAAGGAAAGGAAAAAAATAGGAATCAGGTTTTAAAAAATACTAAAAAATGCACAGCGAAAAAGGCTTTACTTCAGTTTTAGTTCATATGAAATATTCTGGAAGATAAAGACCTAAATGTCTAACGATGGAAAACAGCAGCTTCACTAATACAAAAACTTACAGAGGAGAATTATTTTATAATCATTATTAAGAACTTACTTTATTTTGAGTTTCTTTAGAAAGCATTCCTAGAAAAAGTCACTTAAAAACTATTACATTATAAGGGGGAAAAAGCCTAAACTTTTGTTTAAGAAAAAAAAAATTAATGGAGGCATCTAAGTTCCACTTGGAATGTTAAAACTTTTAAGATTTCTAATAATTGCTAATTCTAATTTCTAAATTAAAATTTAAATACATAAAGAAAAATACATATGTATAAATATACAAAAATACATATATTTGAATGTTCAACTACATATAGTTTATGGAACTATAAACTATACTTTATGGAATACTGAATCATTTTAAAATATGTCCTTTAAATCTTTCTATATACATAAAATGGTAAAATATGTTCTCATGTTAACAACAAACTATGAAAATGTTATATGAAATTAAACTATAATAAGTAAGAAAATTGTAACAAAAACTGGTCGTCTACTCTGTGTAGATATATATCTATATCTATATATCTATATCTATATCTATATGTGTAGGTTAGCATACATTTGATATTATGAATTTGTGAGGAAGTAACATTAGATTACATGTGAATCTTTCATCCCCCAAAACTGAGATTTTTCTCAAAGAAGAAACATTTCATATTGAGTTATTCACATTGAGAATATTTTTTAAATCTGTATTATTTACATATTGAACTAGTTCATTAGGTTACAAAATTGAAAGCAATTAGTGAACTATTTAGAAAATTACAGACCACTGATAATCTTTCTCTGAAAGTTTATGTTTAGTTTATTTATTATTTTTTAATCTATTTATTTATTTTGAGAGAGATATAGCGTGACCAGAGGAGGGGCAGAGAAAGAGGGAGAGAGAGAATCCCAAGCAGGCTCTGCACTCTCAGTGCAGACTCTGACAGGGGGCTAAATCCCACGACCATGAGATCATGACCTAACTGAGACCAAGAGTCAGATGCTTAACCGACTAACCCACCTCCGGTGTCCCTATTTATTAATTTAATAAAAACATGATTAATTTGTTAATTCTTACTATGAACAAAATAGGAAATAATTTATGTAATATAACTTACTTGATATAATGTTAATTTTTAATATTCATGTAAAAAACTTTAATTTTAACAAAGAAATATATAAAAATATATATAATATAGTAAATATATTAAATAATGACAAATACATTTTTTAATGCACATAGAAACACTAATGCTAGAAACTGAATAGAATATTAAAATATTAACATGATTAAATGCTGAAATGGGGTTGAAGAGTGAGGTAACACAAAGGCATTTATTACAGTTTATTAGAGTTTAGAATTTTCTTCACTACCTAGCACATTATTCCCAGCATACAATTACATAAGTAACTATGGGAAAGCAAGATTGCCTTTCACTAATAAAAGATTTAAAATTTGTTCTGGTATTAGAATTATTGGCCACCATTTTCAGACAAATGTACCTAATTGTTAGGTAACCATATGTATATGATGACAGCTTTGTGCAGAGCTCTGAGCTGGATGTTACATATACATTCTACGCTACATTAGTATAACAGAAACTGTAGGGATGCCGTTCCTGGACTTTAGCAATTCATGGAGTGGTCAATTTTGAATCACATTTTTTTTTTGGAAATTAATAAAGAACTGACAACTTTTTATTTTGCCCACAAGTTACATACCACACACACACACACACACACACACACACAAATTACCATCTGTCATCATGTCACCATTTTAACACCTCTTAAAAAGTGGTATACATAATCCAACGAAAGAAAACTTAGCCAAATTAAACCAACATCATGCATATTTATAGAAAGTTATAGTGCAATAGTGCACGTGTGTTCATGTTTGTGTGCATTGTATTATTGCACAGTACTGATTGCTAGTCAACAATACCTCATTTTTTGTGTTTTTTTAAATTAAAATTTAAATATATAAAGAAAAATACATATGTAAAAATATACAAATATATATTTGAATATTCAACCATGTATATGTATATGTATATGTGTATGTGTATGTGTATATGTATATGTATATATATGAATATTCAGCCATAATGAAAGAAGGAAATCTTGCCATTTGTGACAACATGGGTTAAACCTTGAGGGCATTATGCTAAGTGAATAAGTGAATAAGTCAGACAAAAAGACTATTATTGTGTGATCTCACTTACATGTGGCATCTAAAAGAACTGAACTCATAGAAATACAGAATAGATTGGGGCGTCTGGGTGGCTCAGTTGGTTGAGCATCTGACTTCAGCTCAGGTCATGATTTCACGGCCTGTGGGTTCCAGCCCCGCGTCGGGCTCTGTGCTGATGGCTCGGAGCCTGGAGCCTGTTTCGGATTCTGTGTCTCCCTCTCTCTCTGCCCGTCCCCTGCTCATGCTCTGTCTCTCTTTGTCTCAAAAATAAATAAAAACATTAAAAAATTAAAAAAAAGGAAATAGAGAATAGATTGGTGGTTGCCAGGGTCTAGAGGGTAAGGGTGACATCTATTGATTGTCTTTTTTCATTTGCTTTTTGATCTTCTTGATTCTCAGTGTGATGATTTATTTTCTACTGAAACCTGCCCTTTGGTGTATTGTGAGACTCCAGACCTTCAACCTTCTGATTTAGCTGGTGTTTTCCAACATATCTCTGGCACAGAGGTGGGGAAGGGTACTACCTAATCACTGTCAGGTTGGGGTAGAAATCCTGGTACCCACCTGGCCTCCACTCACTCCGGAGAGGGACTTTCTCATTGACATGGGGTGAAGGTGGGGGCTTCGGGACCACTAGGGAGTACCTGACATCACTACCACTATCAGTACCTGATAGGGAGGGGTAGGAGTGCCCCATTACTGCTCCCCGTTCAGTGCCATAGAAGGGGTGGCCTCATTACTACTGGGCAGTGATGAGATTCCTGTCCCACTAGGAGGCATTCTCTGACAGCCCCAGCAGAAAGGGGTGCCATCTTATTACTGCTGGTTAGGGTGAAAGTCCAAGTTGCCCCCACTTGGTCTCCACGGACACCATGGGTGTTGAAGGCCTCTTTACTGTTCCAGTAGAGATGAAAGGCTCAGTTCCTCATTTAAAACATTCAGCTGCAATGGATATTTAGATCTTTTGTCTGCTCATCATCTGCTAACCACCTTTTCCAATTTTTCTAGATGCTATTATTTATGCTGTGGAAAGCAAGACTCCCATTTGCTCAGTTCACCTAAATTTTGCTAGAGATTATCTTTCTCTCCTTCCTTTTTATCTTAAAATTGATTTCTCTTTTTCCTTTTGCCTCTTATTCTAAATATACTCCATTGTTTCTGATTCTGAATTCAAAATTCTAACCATCCAAACTTTTAAAGAACCGACATATTTCTCTCTAAGAAGCCTAGAAGGCTTTACAAATGGTTATAAACAAGTTCTATTTGTCTTTCTTCACATCAATTTTCATGGACTCCCTACAGAAATGATCCCATGCCTATAATTCCATGGAGACTCTTTACTTAGTTTGCTATTATGTAATAACTCAACAGTGAGAAAGTTCTTTCTTGAATATTATTATCCTCTGTTTTTATATTTGTGCCACTTACTTATTTTAAAACATTATATTTTTTGGATTCTGGTATAGATCCATTCCAAATTAACTCTTGGAATCTCAAAAGTTGTAATTCTAAAACTAACTAGAATATTTTCAGTTAAACCTGTTAGCACAACATGGGCATTACCTAATTTTATGCAGATGCCCTGTCACTGTCCCTAGATAATATTTTTTCTGTTCCAAATACATATATACCTACTTAAACCTAACAGAAGGATATAATATTTTTAATGCTCTATACATAATCCATTCCAACATTATAAGTAATTCTAAAACCCTAAACACAAAAAAATCAAGTAAGTAATAATCTCAGGAAAGGTAATAAAGATATTGCTACTGGAAATCACACAGATGAATGTAGATGGACTAAATAAATTTAAAAATAAGCAAAAAATCTATTAAGAATCCTTATGTACATCCCACTTTATAGAAGATACTGTAAATTTTGTTTAATGTCTTAGGAATTTTACTCTGATTCATTACAAATAATATAGAATAAGGAACAATAAATCAAAGTACACTTGTGGGAAAATGCAATTAGGAATTGTCTGAATGGTGGGGGCTGTCCATAAACCAATTAGAAAGAATGGGTGTCACAGCAGAATGCTTTTAATAAAATCTAATGCACTTGAGAACCAAGTTTCTGAATGCACTTTGAAGTGGCTATAAATGACAGGGTACTTTAGATGCCTACACTCATTGAATGTGCTGGGATGGATTTAGGATTTAGATCATAGGCTCTGTCATATGGTCACAGAAACTAATAATAATTAGTAGGAAAGAATTTTAAGCCACTCTAAAATTCTTCATGATATAGTTTGAAAGTTTCCTTTTCAATAGTTTATTTTTTAGCATAAATGGAAGCTGAGAAATCTATATTTTGTTATTCTAATTGGTCTGATTAGCCAGCTTACTAACATTGAGACAATATGATACAAAGACATTAATTTCCTATTTTCATCAGCTTTAACCTGAAACTTGCCCACTGTAGTTAGGCAAGAGTTATACTATCTCTGAGCTACTCAGGCACTTGCATATTAACCCCATGACTGGCAAATCTGTTGCCATTAGCCTAGATTTCTGAGTAAGTAGCACTATAATTCAGTGTCTGCCCCACATGCCAGACATAATTATTCTAACCCATCAGAAATTTGTCACTACCTAAGGTTACCAAATGACTGAGGAAATGTTTGCAAAAGTATTACAATGATCAAATCTGATTGTAGTACTCGAT